TGATTTTCGTAAGATCCCATAGTTGGTATTGTTTCCTATCCCTTTCCCAAACAATCGTTCTCATCATTTATAAAACGGATGTTTCGGCTACTGAAATTGGATTTTGGATGTTGTATTTCCATTTGACAGACAGTTCACCTGAGTATTTTTTTTCTGGGTAAATTTACACTTCCAATTTCACATGTACGAGGATAAGGCATGTTGAACATTGGATTCGAATCGGTTACGGTATGCCCAAACGCAATGACATTAATCTTTCTCCGTGTGACGGTTCATCATTTATCTTGGAGTTTTGTTTTGTTCTTCGCTCGATTGTATTCGTTTCGCCTTCGTTCCATTTTACTTCAAGACAAATCTACAGATAACTAAACACACAGAAACAACATAAATGTATACGGTAACAAAACTACGACGCAACGAAAATGATAAAAAAAAAACCACACACATAGAAAAGACTAATGTTTGTCGATGTAAAGTGTCTAAACAAAGCGAAAAAAAAAGTTGAAGCGAAAAACAATTGTCAAAGAAGTAAACTTTTTGCACAGCGGAAGATTGTGCATCGATTTTCAAAGTTTGTTTTTTCAAAGTGACTTTGAAATCGAGTAAATTTAGAATATACAAAAGAAATGCACGAAAACGATAGTACCCAGATTTATGGTTTCAATTTTGAATGTTGGCCATAAATTTTGCAGTTTGTTTATCTAATTCAAGTGAACATTTTCTGGGAAATCAGTCGAATATCTCTATTTTTGTCTGTTTAGATTATTGTCGAATCATAATTTCTTTGTTTGTTTGAAAAGTGAGTGATATCGTTTGGACGGGAAAAGGGTTTGAAATTCAATCGAAAAGCCTAAGAACAATAAAGCATTCGGTAGAATAATTTTGGTCTGTTTGACCCAAAATTGGGGTTACCTTCGAAGTTTTCATAAGATTTAAACGAAAGCGAAGACAAATAGTATAGAAGAAATACCGTATAAGTCTCTCAGTACCTCACTCAAAATCTCTTCTCACGCAAACCAGTCTTACTGTCCAATGTGGACTTCATCGTTTAGCTAACACACAACCAAGAGTGATGGGCAATCGTATGTTTTCCATGGTTCATCATGCTTATTTTCCAGTTGTTTGGCAAAATGACTTCCGAGTTTTGTGAGACGTTTAAATATCATTCATACCCATTGTACATAACTAATGTGTGTTTCAGTTTGCCTGTCAAAAATCACTAGATATAAATGCTTGAAATATCGTTAATAAATCTTCCGGAGAATGTTTTCATGTCACTCATTCGCACGATTTGTATCGCAACCCTGACATTTACATGACACTATTTAGCATAAAGGTAAATGTTGGTCCATTCATCTATGTATTTGTCACTTTGATAACATTTTATCAAATCGTCCACTGATGCGCACAACAAGTGCTATTCGCCATGAATTTCGAATGTGTGCGACACACAAATGTCAACAATATAATAACACTAAAATAGCTCATAACCTTAAGTCATCTTGAAGTGGTGGGCATGAAGATGTGCTTTGAAATCAATCTTTGTTGACAGAGGAAATTTTCTAATCACTGACAATTTTGTCGTGTCGTGGTTTCATCACAGCATCAACTCCATTTCTTTGAACTCGTTGTGATGAATATGAGAGCTTTCCGTTTAAATAATATTTGCAAATTAAACAGAGCATGCGACGCATTCAAAGCATTTCCAATCGATTCAAATTCGTACAACATGCGAACATATTAGTGGGTATTTCACATGCTAAGGCCGCATATGTGTGCATTGTCAATATGGATATTTTATCGTGATTGACTTTTTCTACGCTTTTTTTCCATCTATTGTTCAGTATTCATTTTTCATTTTGAAAAATCCCCAAACTCAATATGAGACTTGCTCAAAAAATGGTTGCCGCTATTCAATTGCTATTTTGTTTCAGCCTTGCCATTATCTTGTAGAGTCGCACAATCTGTGCAAAAATGATAACTATGTGTATTTTGCCATGGTTCTTTTATATGCGCTGAGCGTTTTATAAAATGGTGTACGTTGTTCGCATGTAAAACAGAGCCGTTATTGTGAGTGTTAACATGTGCGTGCGTTTGAATTGTTCTATCCTAGAATTTAGATGATTTTGTTGTCATGCTTAAATATCGGCACGGTGGTTTCGCGAAACAAATGGCTGCCATTGTCATATATGAGTCACCCCAGATTTGTATCGAAGCGAAACGAGACGAACATCCTTCGTTCGCAATTAAAATTCAATTTATTTCCTCCGCATGTTTGCCTCATTCAACAAATCAATAACATTGAAATTGAACGTAATCAGACATCGGAAAAATACTCATTCCATTGCGACAAAAACAAAACAAAAAATAAAAATACGGCGATCGAATTCATACGCTCTACCTGATGATGTCATCGCTAACAAATTGATATGTGTTTCTCTTTTTTTCGATGTTCATCGTTTCTCATTTCGGATAGAATATGAAATATATGTGTTTGTGTGCCATCATCCGTTGACATATTTGTGTTTTTATTTGTAACTTCCTCGGAACAAGATTTATATCGAGGCAAACCGACTGACGACAACTGCGAAAACCACCAAATTCATGCAATATTTCATTATATATTTTTTCGGGAGAGAGAACATAGAGAGTGGAAGGGTGGAGGAAAAGAAACCGAAAGGAGATTGTTGTATTATTTTGTCATTCAGATAGAGAGCGAAAATAAAATGTTTTCCTGTTTATGCGCTTCATATGTGTCCCGTCTTTGGCAATATTTTATGTTCAGTCACTTGTTAAATGTAAAACGTTCATATCCATTTTCTTTTGTGTTCAGTGTTGTAGTGAGTGCTTTTTTTCCGGTTGTTGTTGTTGTTGTTATTATGCTTTGCGTGTAATTCGGTCCCTGATGTGGAACAGTCTGAAGCTGTCGACGATTGAAAGAATAACTCAAAACTGAACGAGAAGAAGAAGAAGAAGGAAGATGGTTCGAAATCTGCTTTATATCATCGAGAGAAAAAGAGAGAGGAGTGAGAAGAAGAGAGATAGAGCGAGCGCGAGAGAGCAATGTGATTGTGTTGTTAATACACATATGACACTTGGTACATATTTACACACTTGCTCACATCCGTGCTATAGCTCAAGAACAAGCACATAATTCATATTGCGTTAAATAAAATCCCGTAGCTCTTCGTGCGCTTTCTTTGAGCGAAACTTCTGAATTAACCAAAAACTTGATATAAAAGCAGCAGCACAGTGTATTGCGTTTGGCGCGAAAACTTGCACATTTCTTTTCGTCTACGTCGTTTTCTTCCTCTTTTTTTTTATCGTTGCCCGTCGCACCAAACGATTCCACAGCGATTTATTTACTGAATTTTATGAAAGAAATTGCAATAAAATAGTTACAGCAGAAACAGGAAATCGACTGCAGGACACGGCAAAAGCATTGAAACCGAGGAAGAAGAAAGCGAACACACTTTTTACATTCGGTTGAGTTATTGACTTTGGCCGCTTCATTCGTATGCTACCCCCTGTAATACTTTTCAATTTTCTCCCGGTCGTTCGGATGAGAAAGAGAGAGTGAGAGAGAGTGAGTGAGCGAGTGTATTAAGTTTCGCATTCTATTTTTCATGTTCATGATATAAAACAACAATAAAAACAAAAAGAAAATAGCACAACGGACACCAAACAGCGTCACAATAAATGTTGAAATGGAGAGAGAATGTGAAAAAGAAACAAAATGAAAACCACTACGAACACGTACGAAAAATATTATGCAATGAATCAATTTTTTGTGCTCGCGCAGAGCCTCAACCATTTTCTGTGGGTTGCTTTGGCGCAAATCTTTTTTGGCAGCTCACGGAACATCAACGATGAAAAAAATACACACACCGTTAGACCTATTAGGACTCTTTATTACCATCAATAAATATTACCCGGCTTCATGTGCATGGAAACCAACGCAAACACAAATAACTATGTTCCGCAAAACTGATTCAAACGATGGCCGTTTCACAATACGCTTTGCCACGAAACAAAACGATATATGTAGACGTCTATTAGTTGTATGCTTGTGATTCCGTTTGTGCGTTCTAACGCGGTTTTTCTTCTGTATTTCAGGCAAACGCTCATAAAATGGTATAATCTTTGCTCAGGTACATGTCACGTTCCACGTTTAATTGAAATGAAATCTGCAATCGATATTTCTTTGCCAAAGAAAATTGAATTTAAAAAAAGCTACACTCTTGCACACACCCCAACCAAGCGTCACTTTGAAACAAGGGAAATTGCATGAATAACTGCTTGTACGCCAATTTCGCCAACGTAATTTAATAATGAACTCGAATTATACCGCAATTTCCGCCTGCCGCTAATTTACGTACAATAAGTATTTTGACGTTTTTTGTTTGAAGCAAATTCTTTCTGTCGTTTTTGCCATTTCCGGTCGGAAAATACATTGTTATAAATTCAAGTTGCCTTCCAATAATCTATATTTCCAAAAAAAAAATCATAAAATTTATTCGGCGATTTTAATTCTAGAACGAATATGAAGTAAAGTCTCCGACAATCAATCGATAGGTGTTTCAATTTTAACAATCTTGAATAACTGACAGCGAAAAACAGGTTATAGGTTTGGACAACCAGTTAGAAGACGGTGTGCTACAAAAACAACATCTAATGCAAAAAAAAAATCCCAGAAATTTAACGCATGTTATTTTTGAAAAAGAATAATAACTGAACTCGCACATGTGATGTTAAGGTTTTGATAAAAATTAGTAATAATAGCGATTTCTTTCGAAAATGTTCAGTTCCTAAAATAGGAAACACACCTCCTTGCCCATATCCTGTCATACCATTTTGCAGTTTTTTCTAACTCCTTTGTCCTTTATTTTGATTTTAAATCAGATCGCAGTTTTTTTTCTTAAACTTTCTAAAGGAATTTTAGTTGAGATTTGATATCTCTTTGGAATTTGAATTGAAGATATTTTGGACGTAGTAGATGACTACAATATATTATAATTTCCGTGACATCTATACATATAGTTCAATTTCATTACGTCGCTCTTGCTGAGATCCTGACTACGTCCCATAGATTCTTGAACATTTGGATCCTTACTTAAAATGGTCCATTTCGAACTCGTGTCTACCGAGAAAGCTGTTCCACTGTAATGCATTATACTGTGATAATCATAACTTCCTCCCATGTGTGATACCAAACTACGATCGTATTTTTGAAATTGTTGGTCTTCTCCTTTCAATATATTATGCCACATAATAGTGACATAATTATCTCGATCATAAGAACTGTGCATATGAAAAAAGCCAAGAGCTGAAATGGTAATGAATCATCATTGAACTGTATTCAATACTGGAAATAATACGAAAATGAACTCACTATGTAACAATTCATGACATGCATTTCGATATGTGCAATCGCTCCCGAAATTTAACGTTTGTTTTTTGCCCGAATAGCTCACTTGCGAAAAACATCCATGATGTGTCGCCTGCAACATTTTGTATAAGATGTTATGAATGTTTTTTCTTCTTTATTTTCTTCCAGCTTCAAATTGTATACTCGTTAAAATAAGTTTCGAACCTCTTCCATATTGATTCAATATGTCAAAAGGGTTCGAAACTTATTTAAAGCAGTATACAATAATTTGCCACACATCAAAACATGCATTAAAACCAAGATTTTAGGCAAGTATCCGTACTAAAAACTCAAAAAAACGTGCAAAAATACTTACGGTGATTTCCACAAATCCAACTTCGTTATCACGTCTTTTAAACAAAATACATGAGGCCCTTGAAATGCGCCTCATTGCATAAAGTATTATTTCTTTTCCTTCAAAGCTCATGGATGACGCAAACTCAAAAACAACAATATTGTTTGGCCACCGAAATCTTATATCAGTCAGTCCATTCCGTGTTTTTGGGCCATTTCCATTGAGAGCATCTCTCTGCTCCTGGGTCAGTAATATATCACCTTGAAACAAATCTATATGCTGGCCATCTAAGATGATAAACAAAATAAATCAATTATCTTTTTTCAACATCATAGATTCATCTCTTTTGTTTGGTGCGATTTGAAAAGTTAGATAATTTTATTACAGCACAAAGAAATTTGAATGTAATAGCTTGGAAAAATGCAAATGTTTAATATGGTTTTTGTTTTAATTCAAAGTTTGGATATCCTTATTGAAACACATTTTACAGTTAATTTCTATGTTCCCTACACTAATTTGGGACATCCGCCTATATTTACTTACGCTCGCTTTTCTCATTGCTGCTACCCTCCGTACTCTTGACCTCCTTAGTTTTAGTTCCATCACAGTGAAAAACCTTATTGTTGAAAATAAAAAGTATTATAATTTACTAAGAAATAAAGTAGTTTTAACGTTTATTACGATGTGAGTTATATGAAATTTCGTTAGTTTTTTCTTCTAAATTTGCTACTATTTTTGCGTCACTTTGACAGTGATTTGATTTTTTAGAATGCTTACTAGTTTCTGCTAATTTTGTTCATTTTTAAAGAAATGTCACAGTTTAATCAATTATATTTCGGCCTCTTGGCCTATATAGCTATGAAAATGAATAAAATGAACAGGTCGATAAATGAAAAAACAGGATGTGATGTGTGCGCGTTAATGGGTTAAATGATAGTTATCTTGAGCCTAAAAAGAGTGAATTTAATTGAAGTAAAGTACTTACAAAATACACGTGCAGGAGAACAAAGGCAAAACTTGCGTTCAATAACTTCATTTTGGAGTCAGTTCAAACTATAGTTTAAAAAAATATATTGAATGGTCTCGAAAACTGTGATGCTTCCGTTGGGCTGGGCACCCTTTTATACAGCTCAAATGGCAATAAGAACACGTTCGCAATGTGAAAAACGAGTTTTCCAAAAGAAGAAAAATTCAGTTTGACTCATTCATCTGTCATTAGCAACAGAAAAATTACAGAAGCATCTTAATCAAACATACATTGTACAGCCGCAAATGCTCTGGCGTTAGCAACACTGAGAAAAATATGTTACTATAACTACTGTAAACTATACTACTGTTATATTATTTGTTCGTCTCATTCAGTCAATTTGCCAGTTGAGTTTATTTTTTCGTCAGGCCATTTAATGATATTTACGGAATTTAGTTAAAAAAAATTCTAGCTTATTTCTATGTGTATTTAGCCTGGGAATTTGTGTGCGCATAATTCAACATCCATCCCAAATTCTCAAAGCACCGAATATTCTATAGCTTTAGCTCTATTCAGTAATTGTATTTACCAATATTTTCATCATCCCGGATGATTCATCCTCCTGTGATGCGCACGTGTAAAGTAGTTTTTAAACGGAAAATATTAAGAAACAAAACTGTTTAAGACAATTATAGTCCAATTATTGGACTATTGTGCTCATGGAATTATCGCCAGGAAAGATAAATTCAACTTGACTCATTTATTTGTCAGAAACAGAAAAATAACAGAAGCACCTTAATCAAACATACGTACAAAAAAATTAGACATTTTTAACTAAAGTCCGTAAATATCATTAAATAGCCTGACGAAAAAGTAAACTCAACTGGCAAATTGACTGAATGAGACGAAAAATAATATAACATATTTTTCTCAGTGTTTCTAACGCTAGAGCATTTGTGGCTGTAAAATGTATGTTTAATTAAGATGCTTCTGTAATTTTTCTGTTACTATGACAGATGAATGAGTCAAACTGAATTTTTCTTCGTTTGGAATCTCGTTTTTCACATTGCGAACGTGTTCTTATTGCCATTTGAGCTGTATAAAAGAGTGTCCAGCCCAACGGAAGCATCACAGTTTTCGAGATCATTCGATAGTTTGAACTCTCTACAAAATGAAGTTGTTGAACGCAAGTGTTGCCTTTGTTCTCCTGCACGTGTATTTTGTAAGTACAACTTTACTTCAATTTTGGTCACTCTTCCTTCAAGAGCATCTTAATTAAACATACATTTTACAGCCGCAAATGCTCTAGCGTTAGCAATACTGAGAAAAATATGTTATATTATTTGTTCGTCTCATTCAGTCAATTTGCCAGTTGAGTTTACTTTTTCGTCAGGCTATTTTATGATATTTACGGAATTTAGTTAAAAATGTCCCATTTTTTGAAAGGTATTTGTACGTATGTATGATTAATGTGCTTCTGTTATTTTTCTGTTTCTGACAAATAAATGAGTCATTTAACACATTAACGAGCACATGTGAATCTATCGACCTGTTCATTTTGTCCTTTGCTATGGCTATGTTTTAACCAGGGGGCTTTAAAAATGAATAGGATCAGCAGAAACTAACAGACACTAATGAAAATCAAATACCGAATACCTACTTAAGTTGACTTTTTTGAACACTTTTAATGGTTTGAAATATTAATTTAAGGTGTTTCGTATTTACTCATAAATGAAATTAGCAACACTTTTAGAATTAGAGGAGACAACAGTAAAATGGTTCAAAGTAGTTAAGATAAGATAGACACTCTTGAGATATTGACGATGTTTACAGAATCAAAAGTACAATTATGCAATAATTGTAAGAATTTCTTTACCTTTCCAACTTATAGATTGTCCAATGTGGATCAACTGGTACAAATGAACCTAAGAAAGGCCAGGTCGATCACGCCGAACACTCTAAAATAACCGAACCCACGAAAGACAATGTAAATCAGACCGTATACCCTGAACAATGTATGTATCCGATTTTTTTGTATCAATGTAACACTTGTGTTGTATGCTTTGAATGGTGCAATCCCAAAGGTTCCCATACAATTGCTAAGAATTGATATTTTGTAACTCTGTAGCGAATAATGTGCTTTTACCTATGCTGTTGCTAAAAGAAAAATTACGGTCGCTACTTTGTTATAAAACAAAATAAATTTCTTTATTCTGTTGGACCCTGAACGCGGGACGTTTAATTCAATGTTTTATTTTGTTTTTTATCCGTTCTAATAGTTGCTGAAAGTCATAACTATTGTGCTTCTATTGTTGCGGTCAAGGGAAATTACTTCATCACAGACTTTGAACTTGCATTCGGCAAGTGGATTCGCAGCGAAAAAGGATTAGTTTATCCTAGAGAACGCGAAATACCACCACTAGGTCTAACAATAAATGAAGGTAGCACACGTTCGATTTGCACAAGCGGTGAAACTAATACCATGACTGGCACTCAAGGATATATTGTTGTTCGGGCATCAAATGGCGCAAAAGCAAAGTTTTCATTTGATTTACCATATTGGTCAAGCGAAAATAAACATTGGGAAGATTATGATATGAGTAAAATGAGTATCAAAGTATCTTCATTTGGAGATTGTGCCAAACAGTTTAGGTTGGCATACGAACTTAGTCATTAATAAAAAGACATTTGTTCACTTTTTTATCCATCTGACCAAGGGTTCTACTATTTAATTAAAAAGCAAGTTTACACTATCGGTCACTGGCCGCCACTATATGCAGATAGAAATTGTGCATATATTGTATTTTTTTAAATGTAGATTTCAGCGCGCGCGCCTTAGCTTTCTCAAGGCCAAAAAATCATTTATAATATTGTACTTTTGTCTTTAAAGAATATTTGAAGAAAAAAAAACTACAGCAGAACGTAGTTTATGGTTGTAATCCATTCATTCAGTTCGTTTCTTAATAAAAATTTCGAATAAAATAAAATAAAAAACAATGTTTCTATATTCGAGTCTTGTGTGGTTTTTTGTTTTGATAATAAATTGGATTTTTGCCAAATCCTTTTTTCTATTTGCCTACAAATTTTGCCATATTGAAGAATAATACGATTCCACCAGTCTTACTCATTTTCCTCATACAAATGAAGGCAAATAAAAGGCCGTTCCAAATTTGGTTTCGATTCTGATTCATTTGATGGCAATTGTATTGTTCAAAATTTCATCAAGCAAAAAATGTATGTAATCTTTTTCTAACATTGCGTGAATTCAATTTCTGACGATTCTATCCAACCAATCAAAAATATTGCACCTGTGCGGAGATATCGCGAAAAGGCAATAGTAAAAAAAGGAATAATTGCTTTTGCTATTTTTTTTTTAATTTATGATCTCCAAAATGTGGAAATGTTCACCGAAAAAAATTAAATGGTCTCTGAAAAAGTGAAAAAATCACATAAAAAAAGTTAATGAAATGGTGTCACCGAAAAATGTAACAGATAAATCCGACATCTGTATATAACGTATTACACTACAATTCAAAGCAATGTATAAGTTTCTTTTTCTCTCCTCTTTTCTCAAGCACATCACAATTGACATCACATATCGTTTATTGTGAGTTTATTTTTATCGAAGACAGAAAACTACTTGGGGTTGGACCATTGAGATACTTTTTCACAGAGCATAGACAATTCGAAACTTGTATTCGTAAGTTGAAATGAAAAAAGCGATCTCAGTTTGCAAAATTCGTTTCGATGAGTTCCACATAAATTTTCTTTGTAAACGTTGTTGAATTTCAAGAGATCTTTTTCTTCACAACAGCTAGAACGATGCAAAGTCGAAAATTAAAGCGGTGCATTTGTTGTAGCACATCAGTGCACCTTCATTACCACCTCCGTCGTTCAAAGATTTGAATTCAAAGACATAGTCCAGCTAACAATTATGCAGCAAAACTCGATATTTTCTTCGAAAACCTTCAGCAATACATTTTGAATTTCCCTTCAAGTACACAAACAAACCACTCAAAAACTCATACTTCAAACATTCACAGAGTTGCTCCATTTTGAGTTAATTTCATATCGAAAACAGAAAGTGTCAATCCCAAGAAATCAAATCGAAGACGAAATATCAACTGCAATTAAATTGGATAAAAGAGACTCATTGCAATTAAAAAAAGAAATTGTCTGCGCAAAGCCGTGTCATTAAGAAACGGGGTTTGGTTGAGTTGTTTGAAAAACATCTCTTGAAAATGTTTGCCATCATACTACGCTGATATCACTAAATCCATGCATACGCAGTACGCACCCCCATACGTATTGGCTTTGCTATTTTTTAATACGGGAAAAGCTAAGCTAATCTTTAAAAAAAAACTTTTTTTAAATGCATAAATATTTAACTTATTGTGAAACTTTTCTTCATGGCGGCTTGTTTTTGTTTGGCGCTTGTCATTTTTTGCCGTCGCGTTCGGCTGACTTTTGCTTTAACGTTTATGATATACGCTACTTCCTGTATGTTCTCAAGGTTGTCACGGTGATGCAGTTGCCGTTTCCCGGAACTGTTCCACATTGTTGGCTGAGAATGATGTTGGCACGTATATGCATCCGTGTGTATCCCAAGCCGATGAAGATTGTTTGCTTCCGCACACATTTTATAATGCGTCATTTTATTGCTTTTTTTCACAACATAAAAAGGTGGATGCTGTTCGTTCTCAATGCCAATGAATCAACAACAAAAATGCGCAAGTCAAGTTGAGACTTTAATTTTCGCAAAATTGCTTCGAAAATGTGAAACTTTGAGATGAAAAGGAAGCGATGAAATAATGTATGCGTGCGGATATTGGCGGCGATGCGTTACTTTTCCTCGGTCGGGCACAACGAATATGTACACACAATTGTTTTTTTCGTAGTACAAGGAGGAAGAAAAAAAACATATCATCTCAAGTTGCGATTTTATCCGTATGCAAAACATCCTCTCGCAATTTCCCATGTGGGCTCTTAAGGCTTATTAGCTAAAAAGATTTTTTCGCTCTGTCTGTTCGAAAGGAAATTTGCAATAGACGCGTGGATGTGTATCAGGTTCCGTTCTTTCGCTGAAACGCACATGCCAATGCTTTTAAGCATGTGACACGCTTCGAATGAGTCGAGAAGAAAAAAGTACGCACCACCGGAATGTCATATACCAGGAAGAGATTTAAAATAATTCCCTGTTTGAAGAAGAAATTGAATTGATTAGACAGCCGCGATGATAGTTCCGTTGGAGTGTTGTGTCGTCGTATGATTATCATATCGCATTATGTAAACGGCTTTGCTGACATGAGCCTACCATTCGCTCTCCTTCTTCGTCTTCTTCTTCGTTTTTAATACCTTTCGTGACAAGATGGGAAATCACTCAGCGTTTCTTTCGTTTGGAAATGAATTTGCACAGTATTTCACATTTCCATATGCACTCAATGCGAATAGGAAGCAAACAATCGGCGCGAATTCCCTGCTCATGTTATTTTTTATGTTTCCGCGAATAACGGAACTCCTAAAGTGGCAATCGATACGCAAATGTAATGGAATTTCGGTGGAAAACGTTGTGTTGACAAGCCTTGAATGCTTATGGCTTGTATTTGATGCCAACAACTCATCAAAATCCACATAAAAAATTCTTCCAATATCCATGTCAATCGAAACAAGAACATTTCAAGAATATTCCACACAAAAATCGTTTGAAAAAAAAATATGACAAGTTCCAAAGACGATTCTCATCGAAGTCACCACCAGATAAGTTCAATAAATGTAAAATTTGTTTTAAAAAAAACAATTGAGTACAAGCCAATTTGCAAGTAATAAATCGCCTTTCAAGTCATTACAAATTCACTTGCGTAATATCGCCGCCGATATCGAATATTTGACATTCAACGAAATTAATGGATGCCATATCAAACGGTATCACAAATGAGCAATTTTTCCGCTCGCACGCAATTCACTCCAATCTGGAGCATAGGTATACGACAAAAATACGAAATCGTATTGAATTGATTCTTCTCTTATTGTTGTTGTTTCGCCGGAACACGTAAGGAACATAACTCTTGGTGCTCTAAAAAAAAAAACGAGAAAATAAACGTCGTATTCGATGGAGCATTCGTAATTTGCCAGAAATAAAGCACGGCACAGGATATGAATGAAGCAATCGTTCGTGTGTCTTATTTTATGTCGGAATTCCGATTTTAATAAATTTTGCCAAAAATCGAACGGAGACAATGGAATTGTGTATGAATCTTTTATTTCCCTCCGTCTGATTTTTGTCTTGATTCTCGTCCTAAGTGCTAAACAATTTCCATACATTTATTAGGTCTGTTATTTATCTATTTTTTTTATTTTTATTTTTTGTTGCTTGTTTGCCATCCATCCGATTGCCTTTGTTCCGTTTGGGAAAATTTTATTCGATTTTGCGTTCCATCTCACTCTCACTTTCAGTCACTGTCTCGGTCTCATTCACCAGAGAATCGAAAGAGGTTCTTGATTCGTTTGCATGATAAACAGACCCAAAAAAAAAAACGAATGGCGAAAAATGCGTACTCATATCGAAACGGTTTATCGTACCTTCAAGCTATTGTTTCATTATTAAATTTATTTTGTTGCCTCTTTCGAGGCAAAAAATCGAATGGCGGCGCTTGTATGTGTGTGTACGCAAAGGAGTTCGATCTTTCTATTGTTCGATTTGTTGCTTCAGCGATTTCGACAATTTTATTGTTGTCATTTTGTTCGACGTCTGCCATTTTTCCATTCGCTCATCGCCCTAAGATCCGGCACCCAACGCAACTGAACATAAAAAAAAAGAGAAATTTGTTGTTCAAAATGCCAGGCCGTAAATGTGTCTTTAGATAAATACGTTTAAATAGATTTCACGGAGGATTTTTCGGTTAAATCGAAGGATATGTAGAAATGTCGGCTGTTTGAGTGTTTGAGCCCATGCCTGGGCTGCTCAAAAATTTAACATACTTTATAGCTTGATGATGGTATCGACGGGTTTGCTCTCTTTTTTTTTCCTTTTCTGATCTTCGTATAAAATATTGCCATTTGAAAAGGTACACTCACTTTCACTTGGAAACCGGATGCAGAAAGAAAAAAAAACGAACGGGAAACAGAATAAAATGCCAATTTCATTATCGCCACTTGATTTTGGATGCGTGCAAAAGTGGTGTAAATAATAAACGTAAACAAATACGATGTGCACACCGTTGAAACATTTTTCGTACAACTTCTTGCCATTCACTGTCCCATAAACAAGCACATTTATTTGACGCACTGCGATACTTTCAAGGCGTTCAATTCATTTCATTTCATTTGAAATTTACGCAATCGAGTGGGTTGCCTTTTAAGTTATCAACTCACGGAAGGTTACAGACCTCAAGTCATTTTACACTTTGTCATTTCAACTGGAGGAGGAAAGAAACAAATAGAAACTTGTAACGATTCATCATCATGAACTATTTTCTCATTACTTTTGAAGCCATGAAAAATTTCCAATTGCCATGGAAAATGAGTCCTTCAACAGTTCTTGGTTGCAATTCTTTGAACCTTTTGGAAAGTCATCAATTCCATTTCTAGAAAAAAAAAATTGATTTTCTCATTCAATGAACCACAAACGACATCTCTTAATTGGATTGAACCTCTATTCAAAAAATATTGTTTTTCTTTATTCATCATTTTTCATATACATTTGTTTCTTGTTTTGTTTTGATTTTTTTTTTTTGTGTTTTGTTTCATTTTGTAAAGAAATAAATCGTTTTGTTATTAACAATAAATCAAATTTTCTTTGTATTGCTTTCTTTTATCATTGGTTTTCCCCTTATTAAGTGAAGCTATTTCTAAATTGGTTCAGAAAAAAAATGTTTTTTTTTTGTTTATCGTATACGTGTATGGAAAGCGTTTCAATTTGCTAATCCTAAAGAAATAATTCATAAATTCTTAAATTTACTTTGAGCGGTTTTGTGTGCGATAGAGAGATGAAAATCATGTGTTGTGTTGACAATTTTTATGCTCTGGTTGACGTTTTGCGACGTTCACTCTTCACTGAATCGCTGATGTTTGCGTCCGAGTCTGGCGATTGCTTATTGTTCGGCTCTCGGTTGCCTTCCAATACAAAATTTCGACTGAACTGTTTCAAATCACGGCTACGGTTTCTTGGTTCACTCGATCTTTGATTACCCGAATCGTCCCAAATATCCACCGTTGGATCACCGTTCACATTCAATTTCTGACCATCTTGTGCATTCTCCGGCCAGTAAAATGTAGCCTGAAAAAAAATCAAAACATTCAATTTAAAATCCTTGTTGGAAATCACTAAACTCAATTGACAATTAATTCAAATGAAATGGACTAAAACTCACTTTTTTCATGAGGCAATCTTTAACCGACTGGATATTATCAAACGAGATGAACGCGTAGCGTGGAAGCCATTCCTTTCGTGAGTTTGAATGCAGACGAACTCGAGACAAGCGACCGAAACGAGAGAACATTCTTCGAATGTCATCCTCTGAAGCCGTGTGTGGAATATTTCCGATGAACACTTGCAACTGATCGTTCTTTGGCGATGATCGGCTGCCATGGCCAGCATCTATGGAAAGAAAAAAAATTAAATTAGTAAAAAAAACAATTTTATTTAAAGATAAATATTCAATTTTCGGAAGATTTCAATGAAAGGACCGCATTAATGAAACAAGTAGAGTAGTGTGGCGGATTTTTGATGAAAAAAAAACCAATTTTCTCAAGCAACAAAGTGTTTTACCATGGGATGGTGTTGTTCTTTCGGTTCGGCTGCTTCGGCGCACGAGCATTGGTCGAATTTTGTTTCGATCGGTTGAATCGCGTCTAGCGGCAAGTTCATCGATCCATTCGGCTTTGCCAGCCTTTGCCAAATCTGCGTACGTTTTCATTTCAGGAATTGTTTTCGGCATTTCTTGTTCCGATGGTGCCATTGTGCTGTGGCTCGTAGTCAGTTCAGATGATTCATCAATTGAGGTTTTTTCGACGGTATTTTCAGACGTAGAACTTTCACTCTGTACAACAGTTTCTTTGGGCATGACATTGTTTTCGGACGATTGGTTTGGTTCGACTTTCTCTACTGATTCATCCAGCAATTTATCTTTCGACATTTCATGTTTGACTTTGCGTTTGTCCTTTCGCTTGCGATATTTCACTTTTCCGCTGCTGTTATCATCACTCTTCGAAGCGTTATGTTTGTCAGCACTCTCTTGCGTTCTTTCATTTTCCAATGATGCATTTTGATCGCATTTTGCATCATCAAACTCAATATTCGGATTGATGACATTGCCAATGGTGAGAATGCATGAATCACGGAACAATTGAGTACGATTTGTGTCTTCGACTGGTTTCACATCGGCTTCAGCGGCAGGTTCATTTTCCGTGTGAACCGGTGGTGTTGGTCCACGCTTCATAACCGATTCCTTCGTAATGGATCTCGACTCTTGCAAAATGCTCTTGAGATTGTGTGATTGAATATCCATAATTGCCTTTTCAGCATCGCTTGAAAGTCCGCTGTCGCTGGTATCCAACTTAACCTCATTTTCGTGAGCATCACCATCGTCACGATCCGAATCAACACGTGTTTCTGCTTGTTTTGCCATTTGCCCATCGCATGGCTCAATGTCTTCTTCTTCGCATTGCGTTCCCCAATCGGGTTGCGCCGTTTGCATCGTTTGACCGGTAACCGAATTGCTGCAACTCGCAGTACCATATGATTCATAATCACAAAAACGGAAAATGTCATTCTGCACAAAGTATTGGAACGGTGATTTCGGAATTAAAATGATGGTTTGACTGAATGGGCGCATTGGTTGTTCGTTGTACGAAATTTCACCGTTCACCTGAACCAAAAGACCATCGTCCAGTGTTTCAATCGTATCGACGGTGTGGATTTTGGTGCTGGTATGCTTGAAATTCGGCGAACGTTCGATCATAATGTTGCGAATTGCTCTCTTGCCGTCAGCCTCAATGGTTCGTCGTTCGGCTGGATTTACATCTTCGTGAATAAATTTCGCCTCTTCGCTGTAGAAACAATGTAAATTTCCCGGCGATTTGTTCAAAATGGTGTAATATTGGCGCACAAATTCGCGCCCAACTCGTTTTGGTGGTGTTGGCATACATTTTGCGGTGTTCTCCATGTTGAAATTATTCCGCTTCTTCACTTTTCCCTCTTTCGTCAAAATGAACGTAGTGCAGCGGTGATTGCGATGATAAACGGTAAATGTGCGGCAAACGAAAAAAAAAAAATAATAATCTACGGAACAAAACACAAACAACAACAAAATTAGCATAAATCCAAAGTCAAAACAATAATTGTGAACACATCAAACAAAAAACGCATAAAACAACGAATTGATAAAAGATATCTAAATATTTGCACGAAAGAAATAAAATAAAATGCTGCGTACCAAAAAAAAAAACAACAAAAAACGATGAATTCACAAAACCGCTAGCACCGAAATCTCAAAACGAGAACCAATCAATTTAAAGTCATGCACCGAAATGTTTCCCACTTCACGGACTGAGATCGACACGAAGAACACATAAACCGTGCGCGCGATTCGGAATTTACATGTTAGAGTGAGTCAGTGTGCCAGTGGCCGTAATATTTTTCGTCACTCAGTGCGAGACAGTCAAACGGTTTTGCATACTTGAGTGTGTTAGTGTTGCGGTCTGCACGAGTGTGAAGAGCGCATCCGATGCCCGAAAGGTGAAAACGAAAGAGTGACTGCGGTCGCACAATCTAAAAAAAAAAAAAAGCAGCGGAGATGAAAGAAAAGGATGCAAATTTTGGACGAATAAATAATCATGTTTATTGTTTCATGTTTTAGCAGCAAACTTTTTTTCCTTTTCGATTAAGTGGCATAGCTATTGAGTGGCGCGCATGGAAGCCGACGATGCGGTTTGCCTGTGTATTGGTTGGAATATATGTGCGGTCAACAGGAATTGTGTTTCGATGGTGGGAAAGAGAGAAAGATAATGAACGCTGCGAACAATGTAATCGATTTCATCTGTGTTTCATCAACGCGAGATAGACAGCGTCACATAGATTTGTTTCGATAACACGACAATCGTTGTTACAAATATCGATGCTCACTCAATACACACAAATGAATCATGAAAGATGTTCATTTCTCGTGGTTAGCAGGGCATGTTCTGTGGCAGCAGTGACAACAATCTCGTTAATCTCATGTCATTAAGTACATTTGCATGTCGTTTCACATCGCAAACATGAGAAATCATGTAGCACTTTGCATTAGCTCTTCACTCTGTCACTTGTCTCGATTAAATGCCAATTTTACATATTTTGATGTGCAGCCAGCTTCATTATTACAGCACGATTCATAGCATTGTTTGTTCATCAGTTCCAAATAATTGGAAAACGATTGTTTGTTTCATCATCAAAAACTCGCGATGAGCATTTTGTTTTGAAGCGAACATTTTATGATTTATTTATATTTTCAGTCGAAGGAAATAACGATAAACCTCCATTATGTTTACTCTTTTTTTTTTGGTTGGCGTATAACATTTCACTGCGAATCAAAGCCGTTGAACTGATGGTAAATTGGCGTTCAATCGATTGGCATTTGCTGGCAACGCATTTAATTCTTTAATGAACCTGTGAAATGGCTCGCTTGCACCGAATCGTTTCTATTGAAATTTTCATGTGCCACTCAAAATCAATCGCACCGGTCGGTGTCAACACGACGAACGGCTCGGATACAATGCTACCCGATTGTTTGTACGCGTGTGTGTGTGTGTGTGTGTGTGAGTGTGGTGTGTACAGTTGGAGATTTCATTGAAAATGTGTCGATTTGCTTGGAATGACAAGTCATAACATGGCTCGTTCAGCAATAACAATTCAATATAACAAACAGGCATCGTTGAGATCGCCTGAACACCACTTAAATGTGCATTTTACATGAACACTGCCATTTATCCATTTGACGACAAGTATTTATTTGTTTGGTTTTGTTTCATCATATAAATACTGTACACAATGTGTATGAGAAATCTCACTCTGTTTTTTCTGCTGCCTCAATTCCAATGGACTAGGGGCGTTCTGCTCATTTATTCATACAAATGTAAACATAGATATTGTGTATGATGTTGAGAATGTGTAAATAAACGATGTTTTGCATAGATTTAACCAGTTCAAATTGACAAAACTCACAATTCCATTTGAAATGAATTTCATCCCATATTTTGGATGAAATTGAATGGCATTCGTTTGATTTAATTCTCAAAAATTATATGTGACCATTTAAATTGTTCACATTGTTTCGATAACGTTCAAATAACCAATACAGCAAGTGACTAATCGACAGCTTCGTATATCCATGATTTTGACATTTTTGTCATTGGAAACTTGTGAAAATTATGCGGACTCATGCGAGAAAAAAAATGGTGCTTAAGTTTTGAGTAACGAATTTTGAGATTTTTCTCCCGCTGATAAGTTAAGTATTGGATATAGTTCTCGAATGCACTCAAAACCCCACTAGAAAACTAAAACATGATGTTGGCTGAATAATTGTGTGGAAATTTCGATGGTTTTGGTCGCCGTTCTCTAACACGTCCTCTTCCAAATAGTTTCGCACATTTTTTTTGGTTCACTTCACGCGCGCGAGAATAAGAAAATGAGCACAAGCAACGAGTTGGTTAGCGAAAAATCCTGAAGATGATGGCAACGATATAAAACTTTTCCACAGATACAAATTGTGCCATAAATAGTGTATAATTTTTCGTGTCGACGAAACTGCATGTTCTCCACTTTTCTTTCGCTCAATTCATACACTTGGTTGTGGAGCATTATATTTTATTTTACATTGTCATTAAAGAAAAAAACACCATGCTGTGTGAATGGGAAGCATGCGAACAGAGAATGCGAGAGAAAGAGGGAACGAATTTTTCTCCTCGAAAAAGAAGAAATTGCGGAGAATAAATATGTTTAGCATTAAATGCACGATAATTTGTGTACTTTTGCAGCGCGAATAAGACGAATGACATAGTGTACAAACGGCGACGTGTGGCGACAAACGACGAAAAAAAAGACGGTGACGAGAAAAAGTTGTTGTTAGTTTTGAATTGTGGTGGTATTCACGTTGAAAATATGTCAGCAAGTTGAATCCAGTGCAAAAATGATGATGACGTGAATAAAGTTTTGTCGTCGTAAATTTAGTTTTGAGCAACTTTTCGGTATTTGAGAGGTTGAGCGTGGTGTAACTTTTAATTTTCTCGCTTCTTTTCTGCCTTTGCCTTTGCTTTCGCCTCTTTCTCCCTCTCCCGCTCATCCTTGCAGCCGTAAATTGTTTCAATTGGCACGTTCGTAATGTTATCGCTTTAAATAGAAAACTATCAACTACGCTCAAAACCTAAATTACTAACCCATTTAGCGTGCACACATACAACGTGACTGTGTACGAAATCAATCTGTAAAAAAAATGTAGCGGAAAGTTTGGAATTTGCTTTCAATAAGGCAAATCGATTGCATTGCATGTGTTACACATCCATAAATGATACACGATTATCATTTTGGCGTTGGAAAGTTGTGGCCAAAAATTGAATAATATGCGAGCGAGCAAGACAGAGATAGAGATAAAGAGAGAAGGAGAAATGGAGAGACTCCGCGTCTTAGAGCGGGGGATTGTTGCTTGAATACCGACCAAATTTTGCAATCCACAGCAAACGCTACACACAGCACCAAACACCACAATCTAATCGAACTCATTTAAAATCACATAAAATATTAACGATAAACTCGATTTGTGTGTGTGTGTTCCGCAGAAGCTGCGGTATGCTTAAGCACAGTGTGCAGTCGGAATCAGATTTCATTAGTTCGGTATGCTTGAAGCCCGATTCAAGGCACGGATTCGATTAAGCGAATATTTATGTGTATGGGATTCGCAAAACGCAAAATATGAATTATGTGTCTTGTGTCTGGGTGAAATCGAAGTTATAGCGATAAACTTTGCCACACTTTGTGAGCGTATGTGTGTATGTGGTTTCGGGTTGGTACGGTTTAAAACAGTTTTCCAAGAAAATTTATGCTACGGAACCGAGTTTATAATATTCACTTTGCATTGTTTTCCTCTGTGCTCACCGATACTTGCGTTGCACTGGGCCAAACCAAAATGAAAGCGTCCATCTTCTCACAGCATCCCAGGGACACAAGGCAAACGTATTGATTTAGGTTAAAGTCAGGTACGTTTGTCAAGTTTCCGTTGTGGTTTTATGAAACAATTCGAATAAATTTAATTTCACATGTTTATTATTTGTTCGCATTCATTCACGGAGCAATGCATTCACCACAAAAACCAGCGTGGAACTCACATTGAACCGTGCACAATGGCTTTTGCGTCAATAATTTTCTTGGAATTCAAAATGGAATAGGAACTTGGAAAATTATTTACACAAAATTGAAAACAAGTCGTTCTATTAGTAAATACGGTTTCCTCTGAACAAGATGGTCATGTGTGTGTAGCCTTGCTTGCAATTAAATATGGATGTTGTTTTGAAAAACTTCAATTACATTGATGAAATTGCTATTGAAGAGAAACCATTTCGAGAGAAACATCAAACAAAAGGTTGTGCCGTATGTGTTTATTTCATATGCAATACGCTTTGAGCCAAAGACTTATTCGTTTTTTTGGAAACGGTCACAAAAAGCAATCGCCCGATTCACAGTCTCGCAAACATTTTGTGGTCCATTGGAATGTTGTCGTTTTGTTGTTCAAATTTATATTATTTGTTGGACGAAAAATGTATTATTTTGCGGTGAAACACGCAATGGAATATCAATTTCGTTGCTTTTGTTTAGCTCTAAGCTGACTAGCACGTGATGATCGGGTTTCGAAGACAATCAATCGAATTAAGTTCCCTCTCTCAATTTACTTTATTCTATTACATCGTCAGCGGAATTCGTATAATGCCGGAAATCATTTGATCGAATCGACGTAATTCAAATTATAGCGAATGTTATCGTATATTCTATTTCTATCCAACTCCGTCTCTCTCTCTCTCTCTCTCTCTCTCTCTCTCTCTCTCTCTCTCTCTCGGCGATGCACGGATCTGTTTTCGATGTTCCTTTTAAATTTTATTAATCCGATGCTAGGAGAAAACATCTCGAGTCTAGAAAGTAAATCTCAAGCAAAGAGATAACCGAATGATACCTTTGGATACAACACATTTTAAAATGGTGAACGACAACGACGTCTATGTTGGTAACGATGGCAATAGCAAGTGTGTGATGAAATAAAATCAAATGCTGACGTCGTTGTTGTCGCTGTTGCTGTTGCTGTTGCCACACTGAGGTAGATAGCGCTTTGTCAGTGTCGAATGTTGCAAACGTAAGATGGAAACTAGCACGTAAAATCAAAACTGGAGCACAATTTACAATTGTCATAAACATAATGCTTGTGGTTTAGTTGTGCGAATGGAGCAGTCGGCACTCGGCAGCCCACAAAATGACACATGAAATGGCATAGTTGCGATTCGAAGCGGCACGAGATTCGGATTTTTATGCGACAGATAACGTCTAAAAAGTCGATTCGCAACAGATCTGCTCCCTTTGCATCCTTTAACGCTCTCACAAACACACACACACACACACACACACATCAAATAAATTGTATAAAAAAATTTCGCA